TTTATGACAATGAGCTCCTCTTGATTCCGTGAATGAGAAGTGAGAAAAAGGTACCCAGTGATTTTGAATTAAATGGCTGCAGCTGTAATAATTTCATATGTAAATACTATGCAAGGAGGGGAACTGGGCTACACTCGCACAGTTGCCTCCTTTGCATGTCTTTCCACGAGAGAATGCTTGATTTTGTGAAGTTTGTAACAGTCCCTGAAAATTCACGCAAATCAGCTGAGCCGCACGACACCGAGAATTAACCCGACATAACTGATAAGCTATTAAAAAGACAATCATGAACTTTCTTCTAACTTAAATCTGCTTTCTGTGTATAGTCAAAGTTGTCAAGGATGACATGACAGAGGTTGACCGTGGAGATCTGGGTCAAGTTGTTGTCAAGTAAGAAAGCGAACAACTTTGCTTGTGAGTCTATAACTTGCTACTGTGGAACTAATTCTACTCTGAAAAAAAACAAAAACTGAAATATTATTTCCAGGCTTCCGCTTCCACCCGGAACCATGTCAACGTTATGGAGGGCTGATGACAGGTTTATCAAAACTTACTTCACGAAATATCCGGTAAGTTTTGTATTAAATGCCAGTGTTCGAACAACAGTTTTACTCGTTGATCAATAACTCACCTTTGTCATTTTTTTTCAGTTTTTTTTTTCTTAATGCCCTCCAAAGTGATAATAATAGTAATAGAGTTTATGTTCTTGGGCATAAATCTGTTTTGGGCCCTGCTCAGCTCATTTTAACCCTCGCCTAGCGGCTCGGGCTTTAATAAGTCTGAGTCGGGCTGAAAACATTTATGCTCGCGAACATAATAAACTCTATTGTGTTATTATATATCTCTGTTAGTACGCGCGCTGTGATTGGTCAATTTAGCTGGCCGAATTCTACTGTAAGGCCCGCTAAAATTTAAAGCTGCTTTTGTTGTCAAAATGTTTCGTGATTTATCGCGAAGTGTTCTTAACTTTTTTTGCAAGTAAAAGTTTAAAACTTTCTTTTACTTGTGAAATTGAAGCCGTTCCCCGTGAATAGAAATCGTTCCCGAAGCCGTCACACATTAGAGATATAATAAATATCTTACTAACCTCGTTTTCTCGGTCCGTGCTGTAATTTACGGATCCTCGTGTTTCCCCTTCGATTTATGGCCCGCTCGTTTCGTGCTTGCGCCATAAATCGATGAGGAAAAAACTCGGGCCGTAACTTACAGTACGGCCCTCGAACTCGGTTAGTAAGAGGTTTTGACAACTGCAATAACAGCTGTTGAAAGCCGCTCCATCTTTGGGTAGTAGCTTTATATAAGGTAGGTGGTCAAATTCTGCTATGCATTGCCATTTAATGTAATGTTGTATCACAAAGGTTAACGAGCTTGCTTTCTGTCAGGGTTACTATGACAGCAGTGACGACGGCGTGATGGATGAAGATGGATTTGTGTCAATCATGGCTCGCACCGATGACGTCATCAACGTGGCAGGCCATAGAATCTCTACGAAATCTTTAGAGGAGGTGCAGTTCAAAATCGTTGTTTTTCTCTCCGTCTACAAGAAACAGCCGGAAATCAAGGAGTAACATTTATGATTAGGTTGACGTAGACGAAGGTGGACGTAATTTACTGTTTATCACTAATCCTGTATCTTGCCCTTAAGTTATTTTGGGAGTGCCTCTTGAAATTGGGGAGCTTCTTATTAAAGAAGGTAGTGTGTTTCCCAGGATCGCCTAGCGGACGCGGGGGTGGGGGAGGAGGGTGTTGTGCTAAATTAAATCATTCCTGCCCTGTCCAAACCAACACGTACACGCACACGCACAAAAAAGGGAGAAAAAAACGAAAATAGTTCGAACTAACTTCGCACTTTGTGTTGAGGGATTTCTCTGTAACGACGGACGAATTTCTCTTGACATTCCAGGGAATGATTCACCTCGATTTCGTGATTGACGCAGCCTGCGTTGGACAGGAAGACCCGATCAAAGGTCACGTGCCAGTTGGCTTTGTTGTCATCGACAAAAGTACGTCACTCAGTGCTCAGTTCATGTTTATATAATTGCTGATGTGGGTAACCTTTTCTGAGAGCACAGAAAGAGCTAAAAATGACGGGCCCTCGAAACGTTTTCAAACTTTGAAAACTGCTTAAAACGCAAAAAGGTCAAATACCCTTTGACCTTGGGCATTCGGTGAAATGCACTGTATTGGTTTTCCGATCATTGAAGCTTGTCACGGAGAACACAACCCGGATGCATTAGTACACGGCTGATTGGCTGTGATGGAAACCAACATAGTGTTGTTAAAAGATGGTGACAGTTGCATCGCGTGACGAAACTGAGACGTAACTTTTAAATTTTTTTCTTCCCCAAGTAACAAGGAGTGGACCGTACTGTACCTGAAATTCTTGACCATGTAAAAGTTTAATTATAGCTGCTTGTCTTCCTTTACTTTTTGTCTCGTTTACGTTTTTATCTAACAGCGAAGCCTATTACAAGAGAAGAAGCGGTCCAACAGGTTATTCAGAGTGTGCGTGAGTTTGTTGGGCCTGTAGCCGCCTTCAAAACTGCTGTCATTGTACCATCACTCCCTAAGGTACGTGAAACAAGTGCATCTCACTTCTTTCGGTCTTAGCAGTCAAGTCATTTAATTTAACCCCTGAATAGAATAACAATAGTACATCTTGTGTGGCTATCCGAGAAACTCTTGTTGATGAGCGTCGTTTTGACTTACTTAGAACAAGACATCTTTTATGTTACTCTCGTCGGCCCTGACGGTCGCACGATCTGAACTACCGGAACATTTTTCCGTTGTAAACTCAAAGTAGCCTGCGTTGCAGTCGGATTTGTTAGAAAATCCTCGATATATCCCGCAAACCTTCGGGATATCAGAACAAGTTTTGGGAGGTGTTGCACAGGCGGTCTATACCGGCGATGTAGACTGTTTGTGACGCAGGCTAATTCAATGGCTTTTTGTTTTTCAACAGACACGCTCAGGTAAAACCGTTAGAGGTGTGCTGTCCAAGATCCTTCACGGAAAACCATATCGGGTAAGACCCATTCGTGCCTTCTGTGTTCACACGTTACCCTCCTTCACCTCACACAGACCATTGTTTTGTTCGTATATCTTTATTTGTAGTGAGACGTTCCGCTTACAGAACAAGGAGTAAATAGAAATCAAATGGGATTTTTCACTAACCTCCCGGGAGAATCTGAGCTCCGGTTGGAGCAGACGGGAGATGTGTGAGTTTGGGTGGGGGGTGGGGGTGGAGGTGGCGGGTGTGCCGTGGGGGACTAGATGTCGAGATTTGCCTCCGAGTGAGCCTCAAACGCGTCGGTGATCAAACTTCCGAGTGTTTCGTTGTACCCCATGTTTGATAAACGATTATCGAGATTCAACGTTTAAGGCGCGCGGCTCGACGCGACACGTCGATAAATAAGCGTGACATTGAGACGCATCCCTGGGATACGCTTTTAACGCGTGCTGGTAGGTGTCACGTATTGCGTTCCCGCCCAGAAAGAGGAGCTCCCTTTGCGGGTGAAATAAAGCCGTGTTAGCCACGCGGACTCCAGACGTAACGTAGTTCTGATCGTAATTTGTTTCTTATCATTTCATTTGAATTCCATGCTCTACAGATTACGCCGACAATGGAAAATCCACACGTGTTGGAAGACATTGAGGAAATTGTACGCGAGGAAGGAATCATCGAGCGTGCACTAAAACAGTGAGATAGAGATAAGAGTAGACAGTATTGGTAGTTGGAATATTGAGAATATTTACTTTGGAGTAAGTAAGGGGAAAATTAACTGAACTTGGAAAAAATATATCAGAACCTCGTCAATTACTGGGCAGTGTTTTCGTGTAAAAAGAAGATCTTGAGAATTAGTGTACAGCTTGCAGAAATTGTCGGGCGGTTTGTCCGTGTTTTAACGTGCCGAGTCGGGATTTTCTGTGACTTCACTCTCGAGACCAATTCTCTTAACTAGATTTCAATACAATTACCTTAACGGTCTTTGAGAGACTTGGTTTTCTGGTCACTGGGGAAAGAATTACACAGGTAATCCATGACGTTACCAGCTCTAAGAGAACATTGCCTAGTTTAGGATCATCTTTTTTCTCATCACTTCTCTTTATAACAATGTACAAATATTTTAAGGAGAAATTAGAGTTTAATCACATTAAAGAATTAAAACACGGACATCATAGTTTTATCGTAATGCGTTGTTTATTCTCAAAACCTCATTGCTTCAGTGTTTTCTAAATATGTCTGACCTACTATCAAAATTTTATTTACTTTCCTCCAGGCGTTCAGTTAGCTGGGGCGCAAAGCGAAAAAACGGCGGAGCGAGTTAAAGGAGAGACGTTTGTCCCTTTTTTCCATGCGCCATTTTCCGAGCTGGGTATAACAACTAACTGAACGTCTGGAAGAGGTTTTATTTTATTCTTTAAAGTGTAAATTTCTGTACACAGTGAAAATATTAGCTATACAACAGTCAATGTTCAGCAACTACACGAGCTCGAAATTTGTCTACGCAATGGCTAACTTGACTGTTACTCGTAGAAAACAAAAGTAGTTCAGTTTCTAAATTCTTTTTTTGTAGAAACTTTCCCTATCCTGTGACCTAAGAAAATGTACTCTGTGTAAACATTTCTAACATAAATTTATAGTGATACCTACACTATGACTACAAGCGTGAGGGCTGACTATCAGCAGTTAGTTTCACATGGCAACGGTAAAGCCAATCAAATTTACAGATTCCCTATAACCTTCGGCTAATTTCTACAGACGCATGTCAACTGTTCACACCCACTGTAGTTTAGTCTCAAATTTATACCGATAAGGTAATAATAATATACATATCTATTACTTGATACAGAAATAAATTCTATATTATATGTAGTCCGCTTTTCCCTATCTACACCGAAATCTCCTATTACTCTGAAATCGAAGACTTTGCAATTAACTCTCTCAATTAAATTCAATTGTTCAGCAAATTTTCAATAATTCCTTGAGTTTCAGTTGAGAAGAGATTGGATACCAGAAGAACGGAGGCGTGCGAAATAGCTTGGCACGTCCCAGCACTCTCCGCGTGCCTCTGCATTTCTAGTTGCCAGTCTCTATCTGCGTTCAAATGAAAGCCAATCACTAATTACCAGTCTTACGCAGTCATGGTTCTCTCAAACAGTCAGTACAAGTAACAAGTTGTTTTGTTCCAGGAATTAACACTCTGTAGCATACCGTAAACTGTCGCTTATACGCCCTGGGCTTGTACAAGGGCTTTCTAGATGGGCTTATATCCGAGGGGGCTTATAACCAGAATAAAAAAAACCGTTTCAAAAGGACCGATAGCTGCACATGTTGACCGAAATAGTTTTTTCATTGACTGGTAATTAAACTTTAAACATCAAACAAGGAAAGCTAGAGGGGCTTATATCCGGAGGGCTTATATCCTGGGGGGCTTATATCCGGGGGGCTTATA